CTTTCCCTTTCTTCTCATAAATATTCTATAAATATTTTCAGAGCATCCACTAAATGCTGTATTGCTGTTGAATACTTTTGAGCCATAGGGAAGAATCAATCCTAGTGTAAATTAAAATTCCCTAATTCGGTGCCTTTTAAAAATAAATGTGTCACAAGCAAAAGGATTTGTTTTTCTTCCATAATGACTTCTCGAGAGAGGCAAGTGTCTCAGGACCTATGGATGGTACTGACTGTTCTTTCCCTTTTACCCAGAATCCCTTTCTGGAAGTCAAGGTAACAGACACACCAAAAAGATCCAGAAGAGATTTTGGCCTTGACTGTGACGAGCACTCCACCGAGTCGCGGTGCTGCCGTTACCCCCTGACTGTGGATTTCGAAGCTTTCGGATGGGACTGGATTATTGCCCCCAAACGATATAAGGCCAATTATTGCTCTGGAGAGTGTGAATTTGTATTTTTACAAAAATATCCTCATACCCATCTGGTACACCAAGCGAACCCCAGAGGCTCAGCAGGCCCCTGCTGTACTCCCACAAAGATGTCTCCCATTAATATGCTGTATTTTAATGGCAAAGAACAAATTATATATGGGAAAATTCCGGCCATGGTAGTAGATCGCTGTGGGTGCTCATGAGATTGATATTTGGTTCGTACCTTTCTAAAACATGGAAGGCCTTCCCCTCAGCAATTTTGAAACTGTGAAATCATGTGCCACAGGCTCTACGCCTACAGTATGCGACAGTCACATAAGCACACACCGCAGGACACGAACTAAAAGTGAGAATATATGCAATGATTGGCATTTAACCATCGAAATAAATCGCACACTAGAAGCTCTATGATTCCCAGAGTTTTGAACTAGGAGGTAAATTACACTTACGTTCGTATATACAGCGCGACACACGCGGGTCAATGCGAGCGGCTCTCCTTGCGCCTAATGAGCAAAAGGAGTGCTGAAAAGCTCATTGTCTAGAGTTTCCTTTGGTAGCCACACAAAGCCCGTGTGTAGTGTTGGCGAAACGCAGCGCTGTTGTGTCTATTGTTTAAATCATCCTTACACACTTGAGTTTATATTGTCTGCTGGAATCCTTGGTAAGATGAAACCCACAGAACTAGGGGTGGGACACGGTATGCGAGCTCCCGCTCCCTGTTCATTGGTTCAGTACGGTCACAATCCACGCCGAGGTGCTAATGCAACAGGCCCAACGGCTGATGTTACCAGGTGATCAAGTGAAAAGACTCAGCAAGATAAAGAGCTATTCCTTTCTTCAGGCACACTTTCATAGACCTCCAAATGGGAATGCGTTTTCTTTAGTACCAGAAGAACCATTTTTGTAGCATACTTGGAGAAACTGATTTATCTTAAAAGGTAGCCAAAAAGTATTCATTTCTATCAAAATTTCCAAATTATAAAAATTTAAAAATGACAGCCTGCCTTTGCAACACTGCAGTTTTTATGATAAAATAATAAAATGACAGATTCTATCAATATTGTATAAAAGACTTTGAAACAATTGCATTTATATAATGTGTATACAATATTTTTTTTTGTAAATAAGTGTCTCCTTTTTTATTTACTTCGGTGTATTTTTACAGTAAGGACATTTCAAATTAAGTATTAAGGCACAAAGACATGTCTTATATAACAGAAAAGCAACTGCTTATACTTCAGAGAAATTAGCAAATAAAATAGGGGCCTTAAAACTCCATATGCTAATGGTTAGATGGTTATATTACAATCATTTTCTATTTTTTTACATTATAAACATTCACTTATGGATTGATGATGGCTGTATAATGTGAATGTGAAATTTCCATGGTTTACTGTCATTATACTCAAATCTCAACGTTCCATTATTTTAATACTTATAAATATTACTAAGCATACCAAAATGACTGCGTTCTATCACCTGAAATACAGTATAATAAGCTGATGATATCTTAACAAGAACTGTTAACTTTATAATTCAATAATGAATACATTTCTGCATATATTTACTTCTGTTTTGTAAATTAGAATTTTGTTAATCAAATTTATTGTACTTATGATTAAGTGAAATTATTTCTTACATGTAATGTGTAGAAACAATATAAATTATATTAAAGTGTTTTCACCTATTCTGAAAGACACAACAGTTTTATGTGATAAGGATTAATTCTAGATTTCTGGTTTTTACTTTATTATTAAAGTCAAATGGTTCAGCACAAAAGTTTGCTTTGGGACTGTTAGGTCTGCTCCCCTGGCTCTCATGAGTGAAATTTCTGTTAATTTGGTCCTAGTCAAGTTGCTTGACACACACAAAAGCAAGAACTAGTTTTATCTGTTTCATTTCTCTTTATCGTGACCTGAAAACTATTTATATGTTTTCATAGGTTCAATTTCCAAACGATGGCAGTTGGCAGGGTGCGTGGTCCTAGAGTTACAGTCCTGCTGCAGCCACGGGACACGGGAGGCTGCCTCGCTCCCTCGCACTCAGTGACCCCGGCACATTCCTCCGGGCCGTGTGCCACCCATTTCCAAGTGGATTGAAAAACAATGATGAGGTGCCTGGGCATCCGAGGGCAGCCGTGCACCCATCTTCCCGACCTGAATTCCTTCTCCACCCTGCAGTGTAGTGACGTGGCTGTCAGCAGCCGCAGGTGGTTAACATGCCATCTAGTGCCATGGTTCCCAAGTGCTAATTTGTCATTCACATGAAGGTAATTTTTAACCATCAGTGATGTTACAGCCATTTCCACTCCTTTTGCATTTAATGTCACCCTGGGAAGGCGGGCGCTCAGAGGGCTGCCCCTGTGGGGGTGAGGCCACTGGCAGGTACACACACTGGGACCTACCTCTTAAGGACCTGAATATTCATGACCCATAGTCTAGGTCATAGGCCCATGAATGTGCTTAGGCTGGAATACAGATAGCTGGAGATTGAGGAAGGAGCACCCGCCATTTCCTAGGAGCCACTCCCAATCGTTAGAGTCACTTTACCTGAGCCCAGGGTCCCATCACCAACTGTCCCGGGGTGGTCCTCTCTCGAAGCTGACCGGCCGTGAGAGGAGGCGTCGGGACCCTGTCTGTGACAGGCCTGCACACTCTGTTTGCGAGGTCCTAGGAAGGGCAGGGCAACTGCCTGGCTGCTGGGACACAGCATTTTCATTTCAGCACCCAAGGGTACACATCTGTATAACAATCCTAATCCCTGAGGTTTTAAGGAACATCATGTAAAGCTCAATGCAGTGTATCTGGTTTAGTAGTCTGAATATTTTTTGTAATACTTCCCACAAACCTATATGAGTTAAAAATAAAAATAAAGAAAAAACCTTTCTAAGCTCTATAGTTCTTTTGTATTCAAGTTGGTTTTTGCAGTTCTGTATAGAACTTTATTAAAATAAAGAAGGCAATAATTTGACATTGGCAGTAACTAAATTAAAATTCACTTATTCTCTAAATTAAAACTCCCCCCTCCTAAAAATCTAATTTATTTCACTTTAAGCCATCATTCACAAACATTAGAATGTCAATGACCCTTTTAAATCTGTTGAAGACTAGGGACACTCTCACGAGAAAAAACACACAAATTTGAACATAGTATCAGGAATTTAGGTCCTTCCTACAGCTCATTCATCAAACCTAGTTTACAAACCCTTAGGAGGGATACTAAATTTTCCTTCTTAAGATAAAAATTATTATTTATGAACTAATAAAGTGTATTTATAAAGATGTGCTTTCTAATTAATTAGTTTTGTCATTAAACAATGTGAGTATTAGAAAAGGAAAAGGAATATCAAATCACTGGATGTCTTTTTTTATAATATACTAGAGGCCCGGTGCACAAAAATTTGTGCACTCGGCGGGGAGGGGGATCCCTCAGCCCGGCCTTTGCCCTCTCGCAGTCTGGGACCCCTCGGGAGATAACGAT